TTGAACTCCCAACTTCAGGTGATCAGCCCGCCTTGGCCTCCGAAGTGCTTGGATTACAGGCGTGAGCCACCACACCCAGCTGCCTGGCTAATTTTTGTATTTTTAGTAGAGATGGGGTTTCACCATGCTGGCCAGGCTGGTCTCGAACTTCCAACCTCAGGCAATCCACCCACCTCAGCCTCCCAAAGTGCTGGAAATACAGGCATGAGCCACCGCGCTTGACCCTCGCATGTATTTATTTATTTATTCATTCATCATTTAGCTATTCCCTGTGCTGACCTTGAGTGATGGCTATTTGTACCCCCATTTATCAGATGAGAAAGCCAGGGCTGGGAGGAGGAGCTTGTTTCCCAAGGTGATTGAGCTCATCCATGATAGAGCCAGAATTTGGACTCACATCTGTTTGACTCCAGAGCTCAGCTACAAAGAAACGTTTTCCTAGGACAAAACTAGAGCCGTTGAACCATCCCTACTGAAACCTCCCCTCCACCACCCAGAAAGCACCCTGCCCTGTCCCTACTTCCTGGAGGTCACCAGACTGCCCACAGAGGGGCGCGTTCGCCCCCTACACATTCACAGCACTGACGGTGCTAAAGAAGTTAATGACACTCAGCCTTGCACCCAGACTTCCCAAAGACTCATCAAAGCCTTTGCAGGGATGAGGGAGAGATGGGTGGGGCAGGGGCAGGGGGAAGGTGCAGAGGGCAGGCTGCTGGGTGGAATGCTCTCCTTTTTAAGCATTGTCTGCCTTTATCATGGGGCAGGGAAGGGCTTGCTCAGAGGCCCCCTTTTCCCTGAGCCTGATAGGCATCTCCTGGAGTTATCTCAGCCACAGAAGAAAGCTGTCAGCCCAGGGCAGCCAGATTCCGAGACCTAAGACAATGGGGTGGAGTTTCCGGCCAGGGATGGCGGCAAGTTGGGAGGCAGGGCCCCAGGCCAGCCAGCAACAGACAGAAACCCAGGGAACGGGCAGAGAGACCCACAGGGACAGGGAGACCCAGGCTCCAGGTCACCCCAGCTGTTGACTCACTGCATGTCTCAGGAACAAGTCACTTCTGTGTGTCTTTGTCTCCTCCGCAAAAGGACAAACTCACTCCAAACCTGCCCCTCCAGGGCTCAGAGGAGACTGGCTAGGAAAAGGGAAATGGAAGGCCAGCTCCAAACAGAGATAGCCTTTAAGAGATAGCACAGTTTTCACTGAGAGCAGTAGCTCACACCTGTCATCCCAGCACTTTGGGGGGCCAAGGTGGACAGATCTCTAGAGACCAGGAGTTCGAGACCAGCCTGGCCAACATGGTGAAACCCTGTCTCTATTAAACATATAAAAATTATCTGGCTTGGTGGCATATGCCTGTAATCCCAGCTATTCAAAAAGCTGAGTCAGGAGAATCTCTTGAACCTGGGAGGTGGAGGTTGCAATGAGCCGAGATCGCACCACTGCACTCCAGCCTGGACGACGGAGTAAGACTCCATCTCAACAAAAAAGAAAAAGAAGCAGGGCGTGGTGGCTCATGCCTGTAATCCAAGAACTTTGGAGGCCAAGGCAGGCGGATCACCTGAGGTCGGGAGTTCAAGACGAGCCTGACCAACACTGGGAAACCCCGTCTTTATTTTCTTTTTTTTAATATTTTAAAAATAAAATTTAAAAAAAAGAAAGAACACATTTCCAGCCTCCTGAAGTATCCTGTGCACAGGCGCTCCATGAGCACCTTCCATAGGTATTATCTCACTTAACCCCCACAACACTCTGAGAAGTGGGCACTTTCATTGTTCCTACTTAACAGATGAGGAAACTAAAGCTCCAAGGGGTTAAGTCACTTGTCCTAGGAAGTTCTGTGCTGCATTTTTTTTTTTCTTTTTTTTTTTTAGAGATGGGATTTCACCACATTGGCCAGTCTGGTCTCGAACTCCTCACCTCAGGTGATCCACCCACCTTGGCCTCCCAAAGTGCTGGGATTACAGGCATAAGCCACCTCGTCCAGCCTGTGCTGCATTTTTATAACCAGCCATCCTCTAGCCTTTCCAGTTACCATCAACTCCATTATGGGTCCAGAGCTCCCCAGCAAACTTTCCATGAGATATGAGGATGGTTCTATTATCTACGACGACACCTCGGCCCATTTAAGCCACAGACAGTATGGGCGCGTTGGCCAGTGTTTGCAGCTGCATGGTTCTTCTCAGCTCTCGTGATACATTTCCTGCTTTACGTCATCGCTGGCTTCTGGAAATCCTTTGATGGGCAGGGCCCTCTCACTGCACACAGCTCACTAGGTGGATGAGGACTCTGGGAACTGGTAGACTGAATTTCGGGCTCAGTCCTGCTGCTAATGGTAGTGTGACTTCCGCCTGTCGCATGGTGGGAAACCTGCCCTCTGTGCTTTAGAAGGCCTTCCCAGGGCTCACGTGAGCCCTCCCCGCAGTCCTGAGCATCATACTAGTGCTGAACTGGTGAAAGGACAGTAAAAAGGAGAACGCTCTCCAGAGAGTAAGGAAGGACGCATGTGAGGTCAGCACTGTTCAGTGCAGGACATTGAGGCAGAGCAACTTTCCTGTGGGAGGCCCCCAGACCCCACTCTGCAGCAGGAGCTCATACAGGACCTGGACACCTGAGATAGGATCCAAAGCTGAATCCAGGGATAACAAACTGTGCCAGGGGCCAATCTAGCCAAGAACAGGTTACCTGTCTAGTCCCTTTGCCCCTCCAAGTTCAATTTCTTTGATCATGCAGATAATTTATAGACCCCAATAATTTATTGACTCACTGCGTGTCTCAAGAGCAAGTCACTTCTGTGTGTCTTTGTCTCTTCTTCAAAAGGAGAAACTCATCCCACATCACCCCCTTCAGGGCTCAGAGGATATGGGCCAGGGAAAGGAAAATGGAAGGCTGGCTCCATTGTACTAAGCTTATTGACCAAAGAGGCTGAATGAACACACAGAAACTCTAGGACCATTAACGGCAGAAGAAACAAAATGACCATCTTATAAGAAAGCATCATCTTTGAGCGGGCATGGTAGCTCAAGCCTGTAATCCACCACTTTGGGAGGCTGAGGCGGGCGGATCACAAGGTCAGGATTTCAAGACCAGCCTGGCCAACGTGGTGAAACCCCATCTCTACTAAAGATACAAAAAATTAGCCCGGCGTGGTAGTGTATGTCTGTAGTCCCAGCTACTCTGGATGTTGAGGCAGGATAATAGCTTGAACCTGGGAGACAGAGGTTGCAGTGAGCTGAGATCACACCATTGCACTCCAGCCTGGGCAAAAGGGCAAGACTCCATCTCAAAAAAAAAAAAAAAGAGAAAGCATCACATTTTAGAGCATGGTCTCCGAGTACAAGTATGTCCATGGGGCAGATTTGAGGGTCATTGTTGATGCCGAGAGGTTAAGTTTGAACAGGGCATTTGACCAGGGCGCCCAGACCAAAGATCCAACTGATTTTTCTAGGTGTGACCCCGGTGCCCAGCAGAAACTTTGAGGTTCCTGTCAACTCTATTTTTGTCCCTGTATGGGAAAACTGACTACATTTCCTTTTATTTGGAACCAAGCCCAACTCTGAAGTTGGGTGGATGTGACCACACTTCCGCACCCAAGTTTCCGCAGGTTTGAAAACAAGGCTGGGTGTTGCAGGGAACAGCTGTGCTAACAAGCACGGCTCTTATCTGTCGGAGTCTCGTCCTGCCGGGGTGTCCCGGAGAGCCAGGGCAGTGACTGAAGAGTGACCAGCCACGCCCCATGGGGTCCCGGGGGTGTGCAGGGAGCCTGAGCCTGAGTCACAAAGGGGCTGGCTCATCAGATAAGGAGCCCCTGAGAAAACCCTCAGCAAGGACCCAAAGAGTCCATTCATCAGGGTGGGGGATTTGCCCCCCAAAAGCTTCTCCAGAAGGTCTGGCCTGATTAACCCCGCCCCTGCCTGAGCTACCTCCTTTCTCTGCATTCCAGTACCCATGTTACACTGAGTCAACCCAACTCTGTGCACAGGGTCTAGCTCTCTTTCTAATAAACTATAAGCCCTCAGAGTCATCATGTGTCCTCTTCCATGCTGGACCCTTTATCAAGGCCCGTCTTGCAGGGGGCTTTTTCCATCTGCCGGGATGCCTCAGTGGTTCTCAACTGTGGCTGCGCAGCAGAGCCATCTCAAGAAAGTTCCAAAATACCCCTGCTCTGGGCTTACCCCAGACTCTCCAGCTTAACAGGTGTGGGGTGCAGCTCCGGCGTTGGTATTCATTGATTGGAGACAACATCTTGCTCTGTGGTCAGGCTGGAGTGCAGTGGTGCAATCACACCTCACTGCAGCCTCAACCTCCCAGGCTCAAGCAATTCTCCTGCCTCAGTCTCCTGAGTAGCTAGGACCACAGGTGCACACCACCACACCCAGCTAATCTTTTTTTTTTTTTTTTTTTCATGTTCTTTGTAAAGACAGAATCTTGCTGTGTTGCCTGGGCTGGTCTCAAATTCCTGGCCTCAACCCATCCTCCCACTTCAGCCTCCAAAAGTGCTGGGATTACAGGCATGAACCACTGCATGCAGCCCTTGGTATTTTCTTAAACAGGCAGCCAGGGCTGAGGTCTTCAGCTCTGGAGTGTGGACACCAACCTTGAGGTGCAATTCCCAACTCTAAAGCCTGGGAGTTTTTAAATGAGGAGCCCAGGAGGGAGCTGGTAGAATCCTCCGACACAGGTGTCTTTAAAGAGCACAGAGGTCAACATAGTGAGTCCCTCATTGGACTGGGGCTGCTGGCTGGGGGAAGGGAATTGGCCACAGGATCGAATCTTCCTTCCGAAGCAGAGACCATGGCTTCCAGCCAGGAAAGATTTCAAAATGCTTATCAATGGGCATGATCGGTCAGAATAGGTTCCTGATCGTCAGGACCGATGCCAGACCTACTGCTACACACCCGCTGGATGCCAGCCCAGCTCCGTGCTTCTGTGCTCTCCCTTAAAGGTGTGCTCTCACCACGGCAGGCACTACTCAACAAATGCTCAGTCAACATCCGCTGCAATTTCTAACTCTGCATCTCTTTCTCACTCTCTTTTATTTATTTATTTTTTTTGAGACATGGTCTTGCTCTGTTGTCCAGGCTGGAGGGCAGTGGCTCACTACAGCCTCAACCTTCTGGGTTCAAGTGGTCCTCCAGTCTCAGCCTCCTTAGCAGTTAATTTCCCTATTGAGAGTGTAAAAGTCATAGTTGATCATGGTAGCAAATCCAGGAAAGCGTGAAAAGGAAACCCAACTCATTACACACTTTCAGTCACCCACACTCACATACATACACACAAATACACTCACACACACTCACACTATCACACACACACACTCACCCACCCACACTCTCTCTCACACACACACTCTTATACATACACACATACACACTTGCACACTCATGCACACAATCACACACACACACACACAGTGCCTCTCTTGCTCCTCCTGCCAGAATGCCCAGATGTGTCTCCAGGAGGCAACTTCTTTGATGGGCAGGCAAGCTGTCCCACCTGCCATCTGGGGATCTGGAAACCCCTTCACACCGTGTCCTACCATTCCACTCTTTCTCCCTGAGAGAACAGGAAAGGGGTGGAACACAGCCCTGTTGGAAAAGAAAGGGAAAGTGAGTAACCAGGATCCACTACGACCTCCCCAGAGCAGGCTGAGTCAGTCTGCAAACATTCCTGGAGTGTAAGGAATGGAGAGAATACAAAAATGTGCCACCCTCTCCCTGCCCCTGAGCCTTTCACTATATAGCGAAGGAAACCAGACAGCCCGTCTCAACTCCTGGGATTAAATGAGTTAATAACTATAACATTTAAAATAGCACCTGGAACATAGTAAGTGCTCTGTGAGTGTTTGCTGATAATCTTCTTTTTATTACCCAAGACCTTTTGGCATGTAAGGGCCAAGAGAGTATGTAAAATCAAAAGGCCTCTTTGTTTGGAAGCAGGAAAGATTGCTGGGTTTGGGGTGGTCAGGCATCATTTCCCGGTTCCTGAGAATGGACAAAGCCCAAGCCCTGAGCTTTGGAAATGCCCCAGGAACAAAGGCCAGCATAGGCAGGAGCTTGGGCAGGCCTCCCAGCTGGGCCCCGTGCACCCACCGTCAGACCTCCTGCGGCTCTCCTTTTCTTTAGGTGTGGTGGGATGAAGCGAGGGGGATTCCCCAGGCAGGTGTAGGAACCTGCAGGCCATCACAGTGCAGCTGTTTGCTGAGCTCTGCTCTGGTTTTGTCTGCTGAGTGAAAACTGCAATCCTCAAGCTAAGGGAAATTCCAGGGAGGCCTGGGAGAAAGATCTGAGAAAGGCCACATTACCTGGGAGAGCAGACGGGCTTTTAAGTCCGAAAAAACAGCAGGAAGGGAAGAGGAGGCCTGGGAGCCCAGTGCCAATGAACAGGGATGCCAGAAAGGGTAGAAACATCTTCAGGGCAGGGGAGTCTGATGCCTAGTGTTGCTGGGTGATTAACGTGTGGTGTGACCCTCTCTTCTGTACCACCATAAGACCTCCAGCGAAAGCTACACTTCTCCCCAGGGCTTAGGGGTCAGATTTTTTGTCTTTTTTTCTTTTTTTTTGAGACAGAGTCTCACTCTGTGGCCTAGGCTAGAGTGTAGTGGCGCAATCTTGGCTCTCTACAACTTCCACCTCCCTGATTCAAGCAATTCCCCTGCCTCAGCCTCCCAAGTAGCTGGGATTACAGGCGCCTGCCACCACGCCTGGCTAATTTTTTTGTGTGGGTATTTTTAGTAGAGACGGGGCCTTACCACGTTGGCCAGGCTGGTCTCAAACTCCTGACCTCAGACAGTCTGCCTGCCTAGGCTTCCCAAGGTGCTGGGATTACAGGCATGAGCCACCAAGCCCAGCCAGGGATCAGATTTTTTTTTAGAGGCTGTAGCAAAGTTGGCTGACCCCAAAGCCTGGCACGAGACAGGCACAATGTCCCGCCAGGGGGAGCAGGTCCTCAAAGGCCAACCTGGACTCCACAGGATAAGCCAGCAGAGGAGAAGGGCTGGAAGGAATTCTACTAGATGATTTGGCAGGATGAAAGACCCAGCAACACTGGGGTGATGGGCTGTGCCGGGGAGGCACGAGGCCGGCTCACACACAGGGGAATGTTTGTGCAGGAGGCTCCAAAATCTCCGTGCATATATATCATCTGCCTTATCACTCTAGCCACCGGGCAGCGGGTCCCCTTTATGAGGGGTGGGCCCCTGCAGTTTCCTTTGATCCATCCTTATCTACCCTAGAGGGTGTGAGGCCCAAGGCTCCCTCAGGCCAGGCCTATAATTCACACATCCTGGCCTCCAGGCTTTAGAGGGGTTTTTGTTGGTGAAACTGCAGTCCTAGTCTGTACCAGCCACACCCTCCTTCCAGGCCCTGGGGATTAGGCCACCGGGGCTCCTGCATTCCTCCTGACCACTCCGGTCTCCTGTATGTAGCAGCCTCTCAAACTTCTATGGGGCAGGCCCAGATCCGCCACTGGCCCCCAAGGAAGGCTGTGTGGCATTTCAGCCGGAGAAAAGAGGAAGTGAGATAGTTTCTCCCCAGGAACCTCAGGCCTTCCTCTCAGACAAGCTGTTTCCCCAGGCATCCACCTCCCACTGCCCAGTGTCTGGAGCTAGGAAGCACCTCCTCAGCACCTGACAGACCAGCCTCAGCAGCACCAGGGGAGGAAGTGCCAACAGGAGTGGTACAGAGTCACCCACCTGCCCCCCCGCATCCTGTCCCCAAAAAGCCTCCGTCTTTACTCTCCCAAGAGAGACAACTCCATGTCCCAGATCAGGGCAGCCATTCCAACCCTTGCCCTTGGAAGGCTGAGCCGTGCCTTTAATCCTTTTATCCCCGAGATTAGCCTGGTTCTCCGCTGAGTCTTCCAGGAAGGCATGGATACTTCTGGAAGGCTCCTCTCTCCTCAGGACCAACCGCTTTCTTTCTTCTTATTTTTTTCCTTTTAGATGAAGTCTTGCTCTGCCACCCAGGCTGGAGTGCAATGGCACGATCTCGCCTCACCACAACCTCTGCCTCCCAGGTTCAAGCGATTCTCTTGCCTCAACCTCCTGAGTAGCTGGGATTACAGGCACGTGCCACTGCACTCGGCTAATTTTTTGTATTTTTAGTACAGATGGGGTTTCACCATGTTGGTCAGGCTGGTTTAGAACTCGTGACCTCAGGTGATCCGCCCGCCTCGGCCTCCCAAAGTGCTGGAATTATAGGCATGAACCACCACACCTGGCCCTTTTTTTTTTTTTTTTTGAAACAGTTTTGCTCCTGTTGCCCAGGCTGGAGTGCAATGGCGCAATCTCGGCTCACTGCAACCTCTGCCTCCAGGGTTCAAGAGATTCTCCTGCCTCAGCCTTCCGAATAGCTGGGATTATAGGCACCCACCACCACACCCCGGTAATTTTATATTTTCAGTAGAGACAGGGTTTCATTATGTTGGCCAGGCTGGTCTTCAACTCCTGACCTCAGGTGATTGGACCCCTCGGCCTCCCAAAGTGCTAGGACTACAGGCATGAGCCACCATGCCCAGCCTATGACCAACCTCTTTCTTTTGTCCTTGCCAGGAGAGCTTCTGTGATACCAGAGAAGATCAGGGTATCAGAACCCTTAGGTCTTGCCCATTTCACTCTCCATATCAACCGTGCATGCAGGAACCTGAGTTGAATACCCATCAACAGGGGTGAAGAAGGATGGGCTGGGCTCCCTCCACCGGTGGAGGGTGAGATGTGGGCCAGCTCCACAGCCAAAGAGCTGTCTCCCTTGAAGACCTTCCAGTTAACTTTTCCCCTGCAGAGAAGATAAACAAGTGGGCTGGTGATATCAGGGCCCACTCAGCGCTTAAAGCCAGAGAGGATTGCTCCTTTGAATTCGGGTTTGTATTTTGGTGCCATTTACCAGTAATAGAAACTCTCACACCTTGGCAACAACCTTAAGAGGTAGAGAGGGCTGGTTTTACTGTCTCTGTGTCAGAGACACGAGGAGATGGAGACTGAGAAAGTGGCACAGCTTTCCCAGACCTCCTAGCCACTACATGATACCCAGATTCAACCTCAAGCTCCTGGCTCTTCTCTGAGCTGCACACAAGGGAAGGAAGAGTGCCCAGCTCAGTTCTCTTCTCTGGCACCCTGGGGTTATGAGGCAGGAGAGAGGGGAGAGGTCCTCAAGGTAAGCCTGAGGTACACCCCAAAATTCCACATCTCCTTACAACAATCGGTGACTAGCCACTCAACAAGTATGCAGTAAGTACCCACCTCATCCCAAGTACCATGGTAGGACATTTCTAGTGGGAAGAGAGGGACATTAAACAACCAGTGACGGCCGGGCGCGGTGGCTCACACCTGTAATCCCAGCACTTTGGGAGGCCCAGGCGGGTAGATCATGAGGTCAAGAGATTGAGACCATCCTGGTCAACATGGTGAAACCCCGCTCTACTAAAAATACAAAAAATTAGCTGGGTATGGTGGCGCGTGCCTGTAATCCCAGCTACTCAGGAGGCTGAGGCAGGAGAATTGCCTGAACCCAGGAGGCGGAGGTTGCGGTGAGCCGAGATTGTGCCATTGCACTCCAGCCTGGGGAACAAGAGCGAAACTCCATCTCAAAAAAAAAAAAAAAAACCAGTGACAAGAAAGCCAGAGTTATGGGAATCTAGTTTAGGAACCAGGGACAGGTTCCTGGAAGAAGTCCATTTAAGAGAAAGCCTGAAGGGTAAATAAGAGTCACCCAAGCATGAGGAAGAGCATGGACACCCTGTCCTCCACGTGGAGATCTTTAGCAGATATTGAATGTAAGAGGGATCTGGATTACAGATAGAAGCTTTGTGCAGTGGCAGTATCATAGCCAATGAGATTTATCCAAGGCACGATTATTGCTAATTGAAAACTTTTCCCAATACCCCGCCATGATGACTTGAAATATAGCCCAGTGTTGGCAATTTTTGGCAGTCCCTATGGGGACTGAATCATAAAAATAAATAAATAGACTACTGATAGAGAAAATAAGTAGCCTACAGATAGATGGATTTAGGCTTTCTGTGCCCAATATCCAAAAATTTCCCCAAATAAGCAGACCCTAAGTGAGAAAAGCATGCAAACGATTTCTTTCTCTTTTTTTTTTTGGAGATGGAGTCTTGCTTTGTCGCCCAGGCTGTAGTACAGTCACGAAATCTTGGCTCACTTCAACCTCCACATCCCGGGTTCACGCGATTCTCCTGTCTCAGCCTCCCGAGTGGCTGAGACTACAGGTACACATCACCACGCCCGGCTAATTTTTGTATTTTTATTTATTTATTCATTTTTTATAGAGATGGGGTTTCTCCATGTTGGTCAAGCTGACCTGACCTCAGGTGATTCACCTGCCTCAGCTTCCCAAAGTGCTGGGATTACAGGCATGAGCCACCACACCCAGACTCAAATGATATCTAAACAAGCTTTGGCTGTAGTGGCTCATGCCTGTAATCCAGGCACTTTGGAGGCCAAGGCTGGTGGATCACCCGAGGTCAGGAGTTCAAGACCAGCCTGACCAACATGGTGAAACCCCGTCTTTAAAAAAAAAAAAAAACAAGCTTCCTATTATATTTCCAGTTCCAATCAGCTAGACCAACAAACCTTTTCATATGAGAACTCTAGATCCAGTGGCTACTCTCTCCAAGGCCAACCATTGTTCCCAGAGTCCACCATCCCTTCCCTTCTGTTTCATACCCACCCAAACTGGGTTTACCTCTGTCTTCCTCTACACTGGCTCTCTGTCCCCATTACAGGGCAAGATACTCCCATCATGAATATCCTCTTCTCACTCCTGTGGCTCCCTTAAGCCAAGCTCCTGGTTCTCTCCCCGTTTTCTGTGCCAGGCATGTGCCTGTTGCTCTCAGATCCACTCTTAGCCCTCTCCTGCTCTCCCCTGCTCTAAACTGCAGGGGGACTGACTCCTGCAAGCTCTATTCCCTAAGTTCTGCTGCAAACGAGCTTCCAAACAGCAGATAGCATTGTCCCATGAAAGGGGGGAACTGCAAGCAAGCATTTCTCCCCGCCCCGTCTCTCTCTGTGGGTGGCGTCTGCAGCCAGACCTGCATCTCCCTCACATTTCCAGCTCCCACCCAGCAGCCCCTGCCAGGCTTCTGGTTCCTACCAGGTATCCCTGACTCTGGGCTCTTGTCTTGCCACGTGTCCCTCCTTTATGATTCCAAGTCCCGAGGTCAGTTCCCGCTCGTGATCACTAGAATACCACCTCCTCCTCCTCCTCTGCTCTTCCAGTCGCAAGGGCAGTGGCAGCTTCCCCATTAAACCAGCCTCTGTCTGGCTTCTGCTTCCTGACTGCCCTCTGACCTTTCTGCAATTCCAAGAACCTTGGATCTAGCTATTTGCATTATGTTCCCTGCATTGCAGTGGTCCTTAAACATCTTGGTGTCAGGCTCCTTTACATCTTCCTTTTTTTTTTTTTCCTCCTGAGACAGGTTCTTGCTCTGTTGCCCAAGTTCGAGGTGCAGTGGTGCAATCATAGCTCAAACTCCTGGGCTCAAGAGATCCTCTGGTCTTTGCCTCTCAAGTAGCTGGGACTACAGGCATGTACCACCATGCTCATGCTCAGCTAATTATTATTATTTTTCGAGATAGGGTCTTGCTATGTTGCCCAGGCTGCTCTCAAACTGGCTGCCCCAAGCAATCCTCCCACCTCAGCTCCCAAGTAACTGGGATTACAGGCATGAGTTACCAGGCCCCCAGCTTCCTTTACGTTCCTTTTTTTTTTTTTTTTTTTTTTTTGAGATGGAGTCTCACTCTGTCAACCAGGCTGGAGTATAGTGGTGTGATCTCCACTCACTGCAACCTCTGCCTCCCAGGTTCAAGCAGTTCTCCTGCCTCAGCCTCCTGAGTAGCTGGGATTACAGGCACCTGCCACCACACCTGGCTAATTTTTGTATTTTTAGTAGAGACCAGGTTTTACCATGTTGGTCAGGCTGGTCTCAAACTCCTGATGTCATGATCCGTTCACCTCGGCCTCCAAAAACGTTGGGGTTACAGGTGTGAGCCATTGCACCCAGCTCCTTTGCATTCTTAAATATCAAAGACACTAAACAGCTGGATTTGATATACTGATATTTACCATATTAAATAGTAAAACAAAACAATTAAATATTGGCTGGGCACAGTGGTTCACACCTGTAATCCCAGTACTTTTAGAGGCCTAGGCGAGAGGATTGCTTGAGGCCAGGAGTTTGAGAGACCAGCTTGGGCAACATAGAAAGACCCCATGTCTACAAAAAAATTTTTAAAAGCCAGGTATTGTGAAACACACCTGTGGTCCCAGCTACTCAGGTAGCTCAGGTAGGAGGATCACTTCATCCCAGGAGTCAGAAGTTGTAGCGAGTTATGATTATGCTAATGCACTTCAACCTGGGTGACAGAGTGAGACTCTATCTCAAAAAAAGAAAAAAAATTAGATATATATTCATTTAAAGTAATAAGTCCATTGTTGGTTTACATATTTTATTACTTTAAAAACATTTTATTGCCGGGTACGGTGGCTCACGCCTGTAATCCTAGCACTTTGGGAGGCCGAGGTGGGTGGATCACCTGGGGTCAGGAGTTCAAGACCAGCCTGGCCATCATGGTGAAACCCCATCTTTAAAAAAAAAAAAAGACAGGGTTTCACCATGTTGGTCAGGCTGGTCTTGAACTCCTGACCTCAGGTGATCCATCCACCTCGGCCTCCAAAGTGCTTGGATTACAGGCGTGAGCCACCACGCCTGGCCAACAAGTGATCATTTCTTAAAGGTAGCTTGCAATGTGAGATCTGAATCCACATCAGTGAACATTTTACACGCTCATACAATAAAATGCATTAGTCTTTCTTGTATTTTACATGAATCTATTGTCTATGCATGACTTTTTTAATCTCATGCATTGGTCATTTGAAAAATATTAGTTCAATGAATTATAAAAAGCTTCCGCTCAAGCCTGTAATCCCAGCACTTTGGGAGGCCGAGACGGGTGGATCACGAGGTTAAGAGATCGAGACCATCCTGGTCAACATGGTGAAACCCCGTCTCTACTAAAAATACAAAAAAAATTAGCTGGGCAAGGTGGCGCGTGCCTGTAATCCCAGCTACTTGGGAGGTTGAGGCAGGAGAATTGCCTGAACCCAGGAGGCGGAGGTTGCGGTGAGCCGAGATCGCGCCATTGCACTCCAGCCTGGGTAACAAGAGCGAAACTCCATCTCAAAAAAAAAAAAAAAGCTTCCGGCCGGGCACAGTGGCTCACGCCTGTAATCCTAGCACTTTGGGAGGCCCAGGCGGGTGGATCACAAGATCAGGAGTTCAAGACCAGACTGATCAACATGGTGAAACGCTGTCTCTTCTAAAAAATACAAAAATTAGCTGGGTGTGGTGGCTCGTGCCCATAATCCCAGCTACTTGGGAGGCTGAGGTAGAATTGCTTGAACTGGGACCCGGGAGACGGAGGTTGCAGTGAGCTGAGATCGTACCACCGCACGCCGGCCTGGGCTACAGACTGAGACTCCATCTCAAAAAAAAAAAAGCTTCCAAGTGTGGGCCCATTTTATCTGATATCAAAAAGCTACGTTCATTACCGTCAACACCAGTCTTACCTGAAAAGCCTTTCCGTATCGGGCAGCCATCACACTAACAGCAGCACATGCAAGTTTTGCAAAGTTCTAATTCTGCTTTAAAACTGAAACTTCATAATTGGCCACAAATACTATCAGTTGTTTTTTATTGAAGTGACAGGCTCAGTTTGTTCATTTTCAACAAAGTATCTGCAAAACATCCAAGTTTGAACAACCAGAGTTTGTCAGTTATTCTTTCAAATTAAAAAAAAAGAAATGAGATCCAACGAAGAAAAGGTCTAGTTCAGTTCATAGGTCAAAAAAAATAACACACACTTTTTTTCTTTTCTTTCTTTCCTTCTTTCTTTCTTTTTTTTTTTTTTTTTTTTTTGAAACTAAGTTTCACTCTTGTTACCCAGGCTGGAGTTCAATGGCGCAATCTTGGCTCACTGCAACCTCCACCTCTTGGGTTCAAGCAGTTCTCCTGCCTCAGCCTCTCGAGTAGCTGGGACTACAGGTGCGAGCCACCATGCCCAGTTAATTTTTGTATTTTTAGTAGAGACGGAGTTTCACCATGTTGACCAGGATGATCTCGATCTCTTGACCTCGTGATCCACCCGCCTCAGCCTCCCAAAGTGCTGGGATTACAGGTGTGAGCCACCGCGCCCGGCCTTTTTGTTTTGTTTTGTTTTTTGTTTTAAGATGGGGTTTCACCATGATGGCCAGGCTGGTCTTGAACTCCTGACCTCAGGTGATCCACCCACCTCAGTCTCCCAAAGTGCTAGGATTACAGGCGTGAGCCACCTTTCTTTCTTTCTTTCTTTCTTTTTTTTTTTGTGACAGTCTCACTCTTGTCGCCCAGGCTGGAGTGCAGTGGTGCGATCTGGGCTCACTGCAATCTCTGCCTCCCAGGTTCAAGTGATTCTCCTGCCTTACCCTCCTGGGTAGATGAGATTATAGGCATCCACCAACACGCCCAGCTAATTTTTTGTATTTTTAGTAGACACGGGGTTTCACCTTGTTATCCAAGATGGTCTCAATCTCCTGACCTTGTGATCCGCCTTCCTCAGCCTCCCAAAGTGCTGAGATTACAAGCTTGAGCCACTGCGCCCGGCATCAGCAAACATTTATTGTACCTTCAATGCGGCAGCTGATACAGAAGAACAAAGAGATCCTTCCTTGAAGGAGGCTGTAGTCTACTGGAGCGAGAAGAATGCTGGACATACGTGTGTGTGCGCGCGCACACATATATGCCTATCTTGTGTCCTGGGAAATCCTTTGGTCTCAAGTAGACTTGGACAGTTGGTTACCCTAGAAAAGAACAGGTAAAAGAAGAGAGAAAAATCCAGGGATCTGGCTAATTCTCTAATGAATGAACCACCTTGGATGGTTCATTAGTAAGCATCGGCTGGGCTGGGCACAGTGGCTCAGGTCTGTAATACCAGCATTTTGGGAGACTGAGGCGGGAGGATCAGTTGAGCCCAGGAGTTCGAGACCAGCCCTAGCAATATGAGAGATACCATTTCTACCAACAATTTAAAAATTAGCTGGGCATGGTGGCACACAGCCATGGTCCCAGCTACTTGGGAGGCTGAGGTGGGAGGATCATTTGAGCCCAGGATGTTGAGGCTGCAGTGAGTCATGATGGGTACTCCTCGAGCCACAGAAAGTCAGCTAGCTTGAAACTGCCCCACCGGATTTCTGACCTTGGATTCAGTCTTTGAAGATTTTTGTTGTTGTTATTGTTGTCGTTTTTGTTTTTTTGAGATGGAGTTTTACTCTTTCACTCAGGCTGGAGTGCAGTGGCACAATCTCGGCTCACTGCAACCTCCGACTTCCGGTTTCAAGTGATTCTCCTGCCTCAGCCTCCCAAGTAGCTGGGATTACAGGCACCCACCACCATGCCCAGCTAATTTTTGTATTTTTAGTAGAGACGGGGTTTTACCATGTTGGCCAGGCTGGTCTCAAACTCCTGGCCTCCTGATCTGTCCACCTTAGCCTCCCAAAGTGCTGGGATTACAAACGTGAGCCACTGTGCCCGGCCTGTTACTTTTTTTCAAGACAGAGTTTCCCTCTGTTGCCCAGGCTGGAGTTCAATGGCAGGATTTCGGCTCACTGCAACCCCCACCTCCCAGGCTCAAGTCATTCTCATACCTCAGTCTCCCAAGTAGCTGGGATTACAGGCATGCGCCACCACACTCAGCCAATTTTTGTATTTCAAGTAGAGACAGGGTTTCACCATGTTGGCCAGCCTGGCCAACTTTTGGCCTCAAGTGATCCATTTGTCTCTGCCTCCCAAAGTGCTGAGATTACAGGCATGAGCCACGGTGCCTGACCAGAAGATGTTTTCTTCATGTGACAGATAAGCCACTGCACTCCAGCCTAGGTGACAGCGTGAGACCATGTCTTTATAAAAAACGAAAAAGTGCCAGGCACTGTGGCTCACGCCTGTAATCCCAGCTCTTAGGGAGGCAGAGGTGGGAGGATAGTTTGAGCTCAGGAGTGTTAGACCTGCCTGGGCAGTATAGCGAGACCCCGTTGTTTTTTTTTTTAAATGTGGAACGCTTCACGAATTTGTGTGTCATCCGTGCACAAGGGCCATGCTAATCTTCTCTGTATCGTTCCAATTTTAGTATACGTGCTGCCGAAGGGAGCACAAGACCCCTTTTTAAAAAAGAAGAACAAACACTGAAAAGTTGGCTGTGCATAGACACAGAGAAGGTCTGTCTACATATGGGGGAGGGAGAACCTTTTCCTTTGAAAGCATTTCCAAAGTTGCTACAGCTTTCCCTCACCTTTCAATGACTCCTCAGAGGGAACACACTGGGATTCCATCCCCCGTCAACAGACAGAGGCATCTGCACCCTCCTTCTGCTGGTAGCTCAGGCCCCAGTAGAGTCTTGCTTTGGCGATATCTCCAAGCAGCTGTCTTTAACCCATTCCTGTCCAGCCCAGCAGCTTAATCCACGTGCACACTAACCCCTGCGTGCGCCTTCTGTGCCCCTCTAGAGCCTCAAATACCCTCGAGGGGTATCAGGGCAGCTTCAGCTAGAGATAACATGACTCTTAGTGTATTCCCCTCTGAGAAGAGACCCAGGAGCCCCCCTCCCCCAGCTGAGACAGGGTCAGGAGGAGCAGCAATGTTGTTCTACTGATAACACACGTGCGCCAGACCCCACGCTTGCCCGCGAGCCACAGTCACACTCAATACTGCCTCTGTTGTAAGGCTCCTTGTGAAAAGCCCCAGTGTTGCGGCTCCCGGCTCCAGCGAGGTCTTTGGCACAAGGTCTCCATTCATGCCAGGCTTGCCTTTCTTGGCCACACATAGGCAGCTCTTGCTCCAAGAGGAAAGCTGCTGGGTGCAGGGTGGATCTTCCCCCTTGGCTCCCAGCGACGCCAAGACATGCCGCCTGAATTTCCTCTCTCCACTCAGTGCCACCTTCTGTCTGCCTCCTGGGAAACGTTGACACCAGCTCAGAGGGACAGAGCCAAGGAGAACCCTGTCTACCCCTCTGCCGACCAGCATCTGAGCCTCCAGCTCCATGAAATGTCAATGAGGGGACATGCACAGACAAAGCATACAGACAAAACTTTCTTCCTCTTCCAATGAACTAGGGGAGAAAACGAGCCTCCTGCAAGATACCTATCTCTAGGGACTGACTGGAGAGTCAGGGCTGAGGAGTGAGGCTGTGGACAGGATTTTTATCAGGCTATTAGGTTAGTCGCCTGGCTTTCTGAAGCACATGCAGTTTGGTGAGTCCTTTACGATTCTGCTGACCGTTCCTGTCCCAAGCAATAGAACATAGCAGCGGTTCTCAAACTTGAATGTGTCTCAGAATCACCTGGAGGGCTTATTAAAACCCAGCCCAGGCCAGGTGCAGTGGCTCATGCCTGTAATCCCAGCATTTTGGGAGGCCGAGGCGGGCGGATCATGAGGTCAGGAGTTCAAGACCAGCGTGTCCAACATGGTGAAACCCAGTATCTACTAAAAATACAAAAAAAGAATTAGCCAGACAGGGTGGCAGGTATCTGTAATCCCAGCTACTTGGGAGGCTGAGGCAGGAGAATTGCTTGAACCTGGGAGGTGGAGGTTGCAGTGAGCTGAGATCACACCACTGTACTCCAGCCTGGGCAACAGAGGGAGATTCTGTCTCAAACCAACAACAACAACAACAAAAAACCAGCTCAGTGTGGTAGCTCATGCCTGTAATTCCGAGCATTTTGGGAAGGTGCAGTGGGAGGATGATTTGAGCCCAGGAGTTTGAGACCAGCCTGGGCAACATAGTGAGACCCTAGCTCTACAAAAAATAAAAAAGTTCACCAGGTCTAGTAGCTCACACCCGTCCCAGCCACTAGGGAAGCGGAGGCAGGAGGATCACTTAGCCAGGAGTTCAAGACCAGCCTGGGCAACAGAGTCAGACCCTGTTAGAGTAGGTAGCTAGGCAGACATGAGCAGGGCAGGAGACGAATGTCAGGTGACCATCAGGTGATGATCAGGCAATTGTTAAACTGCCTAAAACAATAATTAGTCACAGCTGGCACCAGGGAAGGGCCGTCCCAATAGATAGAACACACCTGAAGCTGGTGATCATCTGCTTTCTGACAAGATTTCAGGAGCTGGAGAAGTGGGCTCAAGCATGTGCACTCAGAGGCAAAATTGTAGAGTTTGACGGGTACATGACCGTCCTCTAGAAACACTCGACTGGTCAGGGGCCTCAAGAAAGCATGCGTACAACTTCAGTAAACACACTGTACATGCAGCCCCTCCAAGTGCTGGCAGGCCACTGCACACGAGGACAGCCCACCCCAAGGGAAGAACTAGGAGAGAAGACACAACCCCCTAGCAGCATGTCAATGTATAAAACCCCAATTCAGCCAGGTGCTGTGGCACGTGCCTGTAGTCCCAGCCACTCGGTGGCTGAGGTGGGAGGATCTCCTGAGCCTGGGAGGTGGAGGGTGCAGTGAGTCTTGATTGTACCACTGCACTGCAGCCTGGGCAGCAGGAAGATCCTGCCTCAGGCTGAGCATAGTGGCTCATACCTGTAACCCCAGCACTTTGGGAGGCCGAGGCAGGTGGATCTGTTGAGCTCAGGAGTTTGGGACCAGCCTGGAAAACATGAAGAAACCCCATCTCCTCAAAAAAATACAAACATTACCCCGGTGTGGTGGCAATGCCTGTAATGCCAGCTACTCGATAGGCTGAGGCAGAAAAATCACTTGAACTCAGGAGGCAGAGGTTGCAGTGAGCCGAGATCACACCACTGTACTCCAGCCTGGGCGACAGAGCGAGAGCCTATCTCACAACAAAACAAACAAAAAAGAGCCGGTCGCGGTGGCTCAAGCCTGTAATCCCAGCACTTTGGGAGGCCAAGGCGGGTGGATCACGAGGTCAAGAGATCGAGACCATCCTGGTCAACATGGTGAAACCCCGTCTCTACTAAAAATACAAAAAATTAGCTGGGCATGGTGGCGCGTGCCTGTAATCCCAGCTACTCAGGAGGCTGAGGCGGGAGAATTGCTTGAACCCAGGAGGCAGAGGTTGCGGTGAGCCAAGATCGCGCCATTGCACTCCAGCCTGGGTAACAAGAGCAAAACTCTGTCTCAAAAAAAAAACAACCAACAAAAACAAAAAAGACCCTGTCTCAAAACAAAAACAAAAACTAAAAACAGATTCCTGGACCCACCCCCAGAGTTAATTCATTAGGACTAGGATGGAGCCCAGGAATCTGCATTCCTAGCAAGTTCCCTGGTGCTGCTGCTGCAGCTGTTGCTAGTCAGGGAATCTCACTTGGAGAACCACTGGAATAGGGGCTCTCCTGACCTCAAGGAGCTTACAAACCATTTGAGATAACCAGTGTACCCTAAGTTCCCAAAGACAGTTCCATAGCAAAAACGACCAATGAATACAGTATAGCCAGAATACACAGAATGGAGGGAGTGCAGGAAAAAAGAGAAAGATGTTTGACCGGGCACAGTGGCTCACACCTGTAATCCCAGCACTTTGGGAGGCCAAGGCTGGTGGATCACCTGAGGTCAGGAGTTCAAGACCAGCCTGACCATCATGGTGAAACCCCATCTTTAAAAAATTAAAAAAAAAAGAGAGAAAGATGTTTGTTGGGTGCCTACTATGATCCTGTCATCATTTAACATGATCCGCAGGAGACCTTGAAGGAAATCAGAATGTTTCACCCCAATATATTTCTTTGACTTTTTTTCTGTTTTGAGATAGAGTCACTCTGTTGCCCAGGCTGGAGTGCAGTGTTGCAATCTTGGCTCGCTGCAATCTCTACCTCCTAAACTCAAGCGATTCTCCTACCTCAGCCTCCCAAGTAGCTGGGATTATAGCTCTACCACATCCAGCTAATTTTTGTATATTTAGTAGAGATTGGGTTTCATCATGTTGACCAGGATGGTCTCAAACTCCTGACCTCAAGTGACCTACCTGCCTCAGCCTC